TGGTACAAATTAGTGTGTTTATTCGTACATTAATAAATGTAAAATAATTTGAATACAAGCACACACACAGCAGCACAGTGAACTGTTTTGCGCACCTAAATAGGCTAAATGGAGATTTCTGACATCGCCTCACACACTCAAGTTCACGCCAGCTCTTACATTAAAAATAAGATGGAAAGATAAAAAATGAATAGTTTCCATAGATCTAGTCTTTGCATCAGTTTGTTTGATGTTTGAATCAGGTCTCCTCTGTTGGAATAGAATTGGCTAGTTGGCGCTGTCCCAAAAAATAGGGTCCTAGAAATGTGGTCCTAAACTGCAGCCTCCAGTATTGCAGGAACATTGGGTTGTTTTTTGTTCAGACTAATGTGAAAATCGGCCCATGTTTTTACCCTGCAAACACACAGAGCTGTAAATGTGAATTGGTGGATCGATAAGAAGGTAATGCATTATAAAAATCTAAACAGTAAATTGTATTTATATGTTATTTAATTCATAATTTATTGATAATAATAGTTTAAATTAATATAATAATTAATACTTTTGACTCATCCTTTTTATTTAAAGTGGTTCAAAGGCTGAAATGTAAAGTTTATCATTTTACAAAACTTTTTGTTTTTGTAAAAACATGTATCTGAACTGTAAATTATGCTTTTTACAGTAATTTTACAGTTTAATATGTTACTATAGACATTGCCCTACCCCTCTCATATGGTATTTATTTTATTTGTGCAGGTCTTAAAAAGTCTTAAATTTGAGCTTAAAAATCCTGCAGAAACCCTGTGTGTATCATTTTATAAAACTTTGTTTTTGTGAAAACTTGAATCTGAACTGTAAATCATGCTTTTTACAGTCATTTTACAGTTTAATATGTTACTATAGACATTGCCCTAACCCGCTCATATGGTATTAATTTTATTTGTGCAGGTCTTAAAAAGTCTTAAATTTGAGCTTAAAAATCCTGCAGAAACCCTGTTCAAATTATATCCAAATATATTATATCCAAACACACCACCAACTAGTAATGACAAGTAGCAAATTATGTTCATGACTGTAGCACAAATTAAAAGTGTGTATTTTATAAAAAGGAAGGATACACTTGTGTGTCCCACGACAACATGAAATGGCATTCGCTGACTATTTTACTTCCATCATGTGACAAGTTTCCGGGTATAACTGTTCCAGTATAATTAGGATTCTCTTAAAAATAATGTCCAGTAGAACCCTACTGGATAAACTCACAGGATGTTTTGACGGGACGATCCAGAGGTTGTCCTGCAGGAACCCAGCATGCAGCTAGAGTCAAATAAAGACTTCAACTGTAGGAATGTTCAGAATCTAAAAACACCTGGACTTCAGAAGGGCAGTACATTAAAAGCCATGTTGGTTCCTCATTCCAATTTGTTCATTTTTATGATGGACAAAGGTCACTCTGCTTAATAATTCTTGAAGTGAGAGTGTGGGTTTGCTTTATTGAATTGGGATTGGTGCTCTGGCGTGGATCCAACAGAGAAAGAGCGTTCCATTAGGGCATCGTTTGTTCGATTAGTTGAGTAACAGACATTAGCGCTAGCAAATTAAGCTTTAAAACGAGAAACACACTACACTGAGCACTAATTTCACTCTATCCCAGAGTCTCAGAGCTGTGCGCTTCCATTTAGCATGAACACAAGTGTCCCTGACTCTCAGACTTCACTGCTAATAAATAGGGTGTAATCATGAGAAAGAGGCCAGGTCAGACTCTGACTTCCTTGTCTGCAGGAAGACTATCAGAGACTCTAATCATTGGCCCAGTGGCCCTGCTTAACCAGGCTAAAGGGGATTTAGGTGAGATTAGGTCACGATGAGTGAAGGAAGTTGCAGGGCAGATGGGGGTTACATAAGACAAATGAGGGGAGGAGCCTATCAGAGGTCATGGCAGAGGTCACCAAGGCTGTATTCAAGATGTTTGCGGTGTACGTGGAATATTTATGTGAAATCCTCTGTCTCTTTTTCGGTCTGTTAGCGTGTGCAGTGACGCTGTGGCTTACTTCCTGACCCTGACGTCTGAGAGCCACCGTGAGGCCTGGATCAACCTACTGCTGCTCTTCCTTACCAAAGTGCTCAAGATCAGTGATGACAGGGTGAGTGTCTGATTCACTGCTGATACATGTGTGAAGCTGCACAGAATTGTTCAGTCCGGCATTTCACAACTGAGGGTTTGCAATCCCCTAGTGGTTCATGATGGAACTGCAAGACTTTTCATGAGATTTATATGACAATAATTTTAAAACAAATGTACATGATAAAAAAAAATCTAACACTTTACTCTTATTTAATATTATATTTTAATATGGATATTTCATGTGCTGACGTCTGATACTGACCAATGACCAATTGAGCATTCAAGCCTTGTAACTGTACCTAATAGCTTGTAAGTGAAAATTGGTTATATAAAGTTTTTGACTTAATATATAAAATATGTAAATATATTTGATCAAATATATGCATTTACTTACTTTTATTATTTAGTAAATATGTTAACATATTTAATAATTCTTAATAAATTAATAATACATTTTGTTTTATACATTATAAACACTATTGTTCAAAAGTTTGAGTTTGGAAAGTTTTATTTATTTATTTATTTTAAGAAATTAATATTTAAGAAAAAAAAACATTCAGCTGATCAAAAGAGACAGTAAAAACTTTTGTAATGTTACAACATTTAAAAAAAATCTAAAATGCTGTTCTTTTGAACTTTCTATTCATCATTTTTTTCCACAAAATATTAAGCAGCACAACTATTTTCAACGTATTAATAATAAAATAATAAGAAGAAATGTTTCTTGAGCAGCAAATCAGAATATTAGAATGATATCTGAAGGATCATGTGACACTGAAGATTGGAGTAATGACTGCTAAAAACTTCAGCTTTGGCAACACAGGAATAAATTCATATTATTATTTTTACTGTATTTTTAATCAAAGAATGCAGCATAAGATATTTCTTTTAAAAACAAAAAATTACCAACCCCAAACTTTTGATGGTAAATATTTTATTTAGTAAATGTGATATGATCCATATGACAGCAGCTTGAGATCTGTTTAACAGAAAAGTGTTTTAATTCCAAATCAGACTAATTGATATGAATGATTAATGCTCAGTCATTTTTTTTAATCTTGCTCACAGCACTAATGCATTACAGAGTCACATATAGAGACAATACCACTGGTTTGTGTTGATATAATCAATTATGAGAGCACACCTGGTGCTGATCAACACAGGGTTAATCCCATTACACCAGGGCATGCGGTGAGAAAATGTAAAGGAATTAAAATACATGTGTTTTCTTTGCAGTTCAAGGCCCACGCGTCCCGATACTACCCTCTGCTTTGTGAGATCATGCAGTTTGACCTGATCCCAGAGCTGAGGGCCGCCCTGCGCAAGTTCTTCCTGCGCATCGGATTGGTGTTCCAGATCACCCAGACTTTGGAAGCAGATCAGCCATCAGGCGTCCAAACTCCCAACGATGCCTAGAAGCAGCAGCAGCAGTGCCTGGTCCTGAACGCCACAGACATGCAGTGGTCTCCTCTTGTGATCTGCAGGACGTGAGCATCTGATCTCCTGCAACCAATGAGGAACGAGGAGATAGAAAAGATGGACTGCGTCAGATATGATGGTACTAACATCAACCCCCCGCCTGCCCTTTCAGGGTCTGCTCTGGACAAACAGCCAATCCCAGTTCAGGAATTACGTCCCATCCACTGGACAAATGACCAGGCCTTGTACAATAGGATCAAATTATCTAGAACATCATGAGGATGCTGAATATCGCTACTACTATACAAATGCTTGACCTTTGAGATCATCAAAAGGTCCAAATATAGTTCAATACAGTGTCTTGGCATTATATTAAAAGCTGTTTGAAGAATGACAGAAGGGTTGCATATCAAGCGATGTGATGTTTCTCAAGTGATTCAGATTTTATTTTGTTTTGTTTGCACCGCTAATGGCTAACATTAGCATGAATAACTCCGAAGAAACTAGTTGTACAGAATTCCAGCTTTGTAATAGAATCTCATAACACTAGATTTTGTTTTCTGTATCTTTTTGTTTGTTTCTCAGAAATTTGCTGCACTTGTTTTCTTGATCAAAATGCACTGGAGATTTTTACTTTTGTGATAAATTATTGAACTATGCCATCTTTCCCTCCATAACTGTCCAGCTGGAGATTTCTAATACAATATGAAGTGATGAGTTCAATTTACTCCATTTTATATATGTTGACACTTTTTTAATTAAACACTGAGGGCAACTGAGATCCTTGAAAAGGAAATAACTGGAACTTGAAAATTGAGGGCGAGTTAAATGTGAGCTGCATCTGAATCACTGGTTTGTATCCATGTTTGAAGTTAGGCTTCACTCTACGTGTACAAATTGAAAAAAAAAAGTTAATATATTTAAAATCTTCTCTTTGGTTTTGGGGGTGGGTTGTATTGTATAGAAATTAATGATAGCTGCGCTTTAAAACTGTTGATGGAATAAGGATGTGAAGCATTCCTGGCTAGTGAGGGTGACTGTAATGGTACAGCCCTGTAAAGTTTTCTATTATGGAATAAAATGATCTGTACAACTCTATACCACACTGGTCCTTATCACCACACATTCTAATCAGGTCATAGGTTAATAAAGTTTTGGAACTTGGTGCATTTGCTCTGATGAATTTTGAATTATGAAAGGGAATTCCAATATTTAAAAAAAAAAAAACACTTTAAAATTACAAATGTTCCAAAATATTTCAAACAAACAAAAAATATTCCGGGAGAAGAAAAAAAAAGAGCTGTTTTCAATGTTGAAAAAGGAATAAATTACAACAGAAAAGTGTTATTTTAAATTGTAAAAAATATTTCACAATATTATTGTTTTTACTGTATTTTAATCAAATAAATGCAGCCTTGGTGAGCATATAAAACTACTCTAATAAAAAAATTAAAATCTTACCAACCCCTACCTTTTTAACAGTAGTGCCAAAACTATATTTAAAAAAGAAAAATCGTGCATTAAAAAAAAAAAAAAAGTTTGAGCAATTTCAGTTACCGTTTGAATTTCATAATAAACAGTCTCAGTGTTTATATGGTCAACTGTATCAGAAACAGCAAATCAAATTGTGACTTTTTGCTTATAATCGCGTTTCTCCAAGAAATGAGCTGTAAAAAAATTATGGAATGCGAACACACGCATCACATTTCACTGGGTTTTTTTTTTTTTCAACGTAGAAGCCAGCCGTTTTCTGTGAATGTGCGAGACTTCCGGTTCATTAACTACTGTAGG